GGGAAAACTGAAAGAGAATACATGTTCAACGAAGTTGGAATGGTTGATGGTGGTGATGGTGGTGCTGATGCAACGCACGACCGAAGTCTCAATTCAGGGATGTTGTTGATGCAATGCATGATTAGCCTTTGAGAAACTTTACACAGAATTTGCTGCAACTTCTTGGGCCTATCATTTGTTGTCAAAAGAGTTAAAGCCAATTCCAGTCTCGCTACCTTCATTTTTCTATAATTGTCTTTAACCCAATTTTAACCCAATTTGGGGTTAAAGTCAACTACAGTCTCTCTACTTTCATTTTTCATTCATTGTCCTCCCTATACTTATAAATATTACTTATACTTTATACGACTAAATTTGTCTTTACCAATGAAAAAATAATTGATGGAGAGTCTCTCTTCTAATAGTGGGGACTTAATTTATATGATTATTAATGTATAAGTAAACAGTCAATGTACATCTATTATCTACCGTTCAATACCAATTTTTTACACTAATGAGGGGTTAGATCAAGTGACAAGCGGCTTGTTTCAGTTTAAATAAGGTCTCGAGTTCGAGACAATGTGTACGCAGCAGCTTTCGTTGGGAGATCTACTCACTATTCTGGTGCGCTACAGCTGGTCGAGTCCGGAGTAGTTGAGGCGAAGCCCCGGATACCGGACGAGAAACCAAAAAAAAATACCAATTTTTTACTATGCATTTGTTATTTATAATTCATTATTCGCTTTCCACACTCCCTACCGCCATTCATTGGATTTTAACTTTTATAGCAAATATGCCATTAATTGATTCTAATCCCCTCACTTTTTATTTTGGAAATTTTATATTTTATTGTACATTTTTAACTTAAAATAATTATTATTTTTTAATTTTAAATTTATATGCGTTTGGTTCGCCGAAAAACAGTTTCTACAAATTATTTTTCACATTTTCTTATATTTGGTAGAACATCAGAAAATGAGTCTATGGGAATTATTCTCGTCAATAGAAAACACAGTTAATCAATTCCAAAATCAATCAATAATTTATTGATTTGAATGAAAAAAATTTAAGTTTTTAAAAATAAAATTTTAATTTTAAGTTTTATAAATAAAAATAAATACCGAAAAAACTTTCTATTCAACACAATTTAATTTTAAATTAATTTAAAATCTAATATAATTTTTAAATATTCAGAAGTTAATCCTAAAATAATTCCCAAATCAACTTCCGGAAACAAAATCTGAAAATTGTTTTCCTTTAAAAAGGCGCCTATCCTAGCGACCCGGTTTACATAACAAGCGGGTCATCGGGTTAAAACAACATATCAGAATTCAGCGTACCGTACATCGCATCTCCATTCTGTCTCGTTAGCCTCCATCCTCCGAGCTCCGGCAGCTATAAAATCCACTCTCATCCATTCTCCGGCGAAGATTTCTTTTCACCTTCTATATAGCACTGGAATACAACTCTACCCTCAAACTTATCTTGTCACAATCTCGACAGTCAAAAGGCTTTGTTTAGTTGCAATTCTTGATTAAGGGTACCCATTCTCCGATCAGTGCTCTAAGTTTTAATTTTGTACATGTTTTCATTCTTGGTTTGTGACTCATGATTTGGGTTATTGATTGACTTTAATTTTTGTTGCATTGATATTGAGTAAAAGGCCCTAAAAATATTTGACGAATTGC